GTGTACATGTATTAGTTTTGGCCTTAGTCCTGTGTTGAATTTTTATTATTCTTGTGTACTTTTATGTAAGGCCTGCACTGAACGAACAGCCTAACAACATAAAAAAAGCACCAATTTATTTCTTTTGAAGAAATAAATAGAGGGTTAGACATTTACTTAAGGCATTACATTTTGTTTCAGTGAATATAAACAACTAATTACATTTATTTTATATGTCTTTTGCTCCTGTGAGAACACTGATTCTTTGTTTGCACATTTTTATTTATAATAATAACTTAGACACACATAACCATAACCAGCAAAAAGTGGACAGTTTTTATCTTGAGAGAGGTCCATGTGACTATGAATATAACAGTTGGGCCTCGTGTTCCTCCTGCAAAGAACAAGTTTGTGGATCGTGATTCCTGCATTTGTTTCAAAAATGAAACACTTATTTCAGATGGGATTGAAGTGCAGGCCTTCAGTGTGGCCTTCAGTTATATAATGATTGTATAATTTGAAATTCACTGCGGTGGTGTACTGAGTCAGAACAACAAAAATGGTTTCCTTGTTGGACAAATTAATTATTCTGGTGCACATTTGAAATGAACTCCAAGATCATTTCAAATGTGAGATGTCTGAACTTAAAAATGTGTTATGTTCATTATGATTTTTTTTCCTAATTGACTTCTATTGTAATATGAAGGACATCTTTTAGCATTAATTCTTTTCAAGTTTCTAGTTCAGAACTGTGTTTTTATGTTTAAATTTTAAAATGCATTTACTAAGTAGTTCCACCGTTAGCAAAAATGTTACCAAATGACTTTTTCACCATCAACAGCACGACTGAAGATACTGACTTTGCTGCTAAGTATGGATATCAGTTCTTGTAAAGCCATATTGAGTGTAAAAACAGATTCAATATGAACTCCCTTATATTAGACAGTAAAAGTGAATTTAAAAAAAAAAGGTGTGACTTACACACTATCTTTTTACTGAGGGTATGCACCACCCATAAGCCCTGAAGTCCTGGCACCAAGGACACTTTCTTTGGCAGATTAACTTACTTGTGATAAGAGCATCCCCCCTCTCTCCTCAATTGTCTCTGCCCCTGTGAGTCTCCCTGTCCTGCCTCTCTGCTTGCTTTGCAATCTGGAAAATTCTAGTTTTAAAAATACTGCAAGGCTTCCTTTGTTATACTAAGCCCGTTTTTGTTCCCCCTCTACCTTATTTATGTTGTTGTTCTCCTCAAATAACAGCAGGACTGGTCTACGCGAGCTGGAGGAAAAAAGGAAAGGAGTGTATGGAAGAGAGAGGCAGAGTATATAGTTTAGGGTGAGAGGAAGCTGCTGCACCGTCAGAGCGAGCAGGGAGAAGGAGAGGATGGCAGAGAAAGTTTACAAGGCGTAGTTTAGGAGGAAATGCGTGAGAGAAGCCGGGGAATCTGTGGTGGCCAGCTGCAAGAGGGGAGATAGCGGAGAAAGGCTTTTAATTCTCAATCCCCACAGAGCCTTTGAAAATTACCAATCTTCTTATCACAGACGCAGGGCTGCTTATGCAAATTGTTGTGGAGTGGAACGTTTAAACGGAAAATTACTCGACAGCATTTTTTCTCTTCCTCTTCCCTCTCCCTCTCTCTTCCACACAGAAAGCCTGTTTTGAGTCTCAGATAAGAAGATGAATTGCTCTCTCCGTGCTTTGAAGCGCGTCAGGATTTAAAGACTCCAGCCTCGGCTCTGGTCTAACGCCACTGCTCCCGCTGCCTTTGTAGCAGAAAACAGGCTGGAAAAAAATGGGAGAAAAAGCATTTCGAGACAACATAGATTCTCTGCTCCAACACATCGTCCCCGCCTGAGGAGACAAGAAGCAAACATATATATATACACACACACACACACACCCGCCAACCAGATATGGCAAATAGTTGTTGACACGGGCGTTTAAAGTTTATGTACTCTTTGGAATGAATCCTTGCTCTGTTTGAAATGTAAATTGTACCACAAGTAACAGAAAAAATAAATTGAAAACAGTATTAATGCACAATTAGTTAAACTGTTAGCTAAACACTTAAAAGGGATTCACTATAATATATGTCACGCCTTTTCTTGTGCAACTTTAAATATTTATTTCCACTCTACACAGACTGCTACAGTACTTTGCTATCTAATGACTACTAAATAAAAACATTTAATAAGACTTTTAAAAGAAGAAGAGTGCCCATATTTATTTTGAAGAATAACAGAAGAGAAAAAATGTTCCCTCTGAACCATCAGACTCTACAGTCAGTAAATAAAACAAACACAAACCAAAACAGACAGCATACTAACCGTACATTAAAACAAACGTATAATTTACAGAAAAATTCTAATCCTGACTAACTTTACAGGTACTATTTATACTTGTATGTACAACTGACATAATGGGTATTAATTTCATTGCCATTGCAGAGTTACTAGTTTCTGGTTTATATGAAAAAAAAAGAACCATTGTTTTTAATAATATGACAGTCAATCAAATTCTGAATGTGTAACACAAAGTAAAAACTGTTAAACAACAGACAACATAATAAAATTTTAGAGATAGTAAAATTGAACATAGTGGGTCACGTCCCATTAAGGAGAAGCAATCAAGCTACACCTCGTTATACATCACCGGTAATTACAGAATCATGTAATTATATCATATTGCCTTAAACAGTGTTCAGCTTTAATGCTATGTATAAACCCTGACACTGGAAATATAATTATAAAATCTTGCAAATAAGTAAAAAAGAAAGAAAAGTGCATTCTTCAACAAGTCAAACATTCTCTGTTTTTAGCGTTGTGTGCTAAAAGCCTCTTATGACTGAACCTATTAAGCACTGTAACATCTTTGTGCAAATCAAGTTCCTTTTTTTTAACAGGTGCTAATTTAATGATTACCTTTTTAGCTGCTTTGGAGTAAAGAGATAAACCTGCAGAAATCATTCTAGCATATTTTTTTCTTTGTGTTGTTCTCTTGATTTTAAAGTTAAGAAATGATATGAGTGGTAAACGAGATAATTAATAGATCAGCCTGAGACGCTGAATACGTTCAGGGGAAGAGCAATGCAACAGGACCATTTCTATTAATGCATTTTATCAGTATTTGTTTGTGTGACCCAGAATCATCTTCTTCCTCTGAAGCTGTGTTGATCTCATTTGGCTGAAATGCCACTTCCTTTGTTTCGCCATGTGTATTTTCAAAATGTCAGCTGTTGTTTTTATTCATTCATATTCTAAGTGCATCAGCTGTGTGCTATGGGGTTGCTTTAAATTAGCTGGGGACGGAAAAGCACGCGTTGTGGCTATGTAGTTATTAAAATGGAGCTTGGCCTTTACATCAGTCAGTGCACCACATGGACATTGGCGAACGCTGTTTGTGTGGAAAAATTATTAAAATCATGTAGATATGAATGTTGTCACTCTTATGAAATAACAAATGTTCGGTTGAATCAAAGCTGTCTTAGAAAAACAAAAGCTGGCACAATAACAAATATGAATATTTAATGAGAATAGCACAGTCTTCATGTACACTGTAATTTCTAATTAGTTAACCTTACTAAGAAAAATCATGCCCACTGCTACCCACAAGAAAGAAGTAAAATGGAATACAAAAAAATGTGTTGTACTAACAAAGTATTTTTATTGTAGTTTACACAAGTTTAACAAAAAAAATTTATTGAATACTTAATATTTTAAGACAGAGGTACTCCGTACTAATGTGGAACTTCCTGCAACTTATTAACTATTAGTTGTATTTATGAAAATCAAATGCTACTCATGTTATACAAATGCCTCAGAAATCCATAGAGATCAATAAAAACTGGCACATTCTCCTAAAACAGTCACATATACACAATACATATAATAAAAATAAAAATAAAAACACAGTTCAAAGTACAGGAGTATGCATATTTTCTTTTTCTCCATTCTAAAACATCTGACTAAAAATGTAATTTACAACAGTGGAGGCATCAGTCGAAGGCCAGTGTGACAGTGACATGTGACATTTCAAGATTTGGTCTGTCAACTTGGCATTGTTTATTTATAAAAAGTCACAATGATTAGTTTAATGTTTGTATGATTTGGTGATGAACTTCTACACAAACAGACTGTTCAGACATTTATTCAGTTACAGTCAAAAGCTTGTAATTCAAAAAGTTTGCAGATTTTTAGAAGTCTCTTCTGACTGACTCTACTGATCAAGATGTCAGTGGAGTCTTGATTTTAAAAAAGTAAAAAGAAAATAATTGGAGCGTGAGCTAGATCTTATGATTTCTTACTGTTTTGCCTGTTTAGTTATTATCTTTAGTTATCTTTAGTTAATATACTGAGTTCAGTAACTGACAAAAGTTTCATGGTTGGACACGAATGTCAACTGTGATTTCGTGCTTTCTTGTTTAACTTTGCAAAGACAATGGAAATGCCACTACAGCTAACAGTACAGTTATTGAGTGGAGATGGGAGAAACCACAGGTTTGTTATTGTCAACACCAGTGGACTACAATGTGTCACTTGATAAAATACTGTAAATTTCCAAAGTCATTGTATTTTATAGTGTTTACATTCTCAGATGTTCTACGTGGTCAGTTCGGAGCCTATCCCAGCTGTCTTAGGGCGACAGGCAGGGTACACCCTGGCAGACTTGGTCGCCAGTCTGTTGCAGGGCTAACACGTAGGAACAGACAACCCTTTGCAATTTAGCAACTTAGAATGACCAATTAACCAAACCCCACTAATTGCATTTTACGGAGTACCCATAGAGAACCAAAGCAAACACAGGAGAACATGCAAACTCCACACATAAAGACTTGATGGTGGACTTGAACTCAGGAACTTCTTGCTGTGAGGCAACAGTGCTAACCGCCACCATACTTTACTGCCAAAACATGTCTCAACATATTTATCCAGCAAAAGATAATCTAACTAAATAACTTTTTTTTTATTATAAATGTAACAGTAACATAACTCCGCCCACTAAATTACCCTTTCTCCCCACAGAGACAGCTGAGGAAGAGGAAGTGTTACCTCCTATTGGTTGGTGCCATCATCCTCACCATCCTCATCATTATCATAGCTGTTTCAGCAAGAAAATGAGGTTGACCACTGTGGTAAGAGCCATCATCCACAACATTACACTGCAGTCAGGTACATGGCATTGCCAGATGTCAGAAATCACAACAACAGTCGCCTCAAGGCATTTTATATTGTAAGGTAGACCCTACAATAATACATACAGATCACATGATCCCCTTTGAGCAAGCACTTTGGTGACAGTGGGAAGGAAAAACTCCCTTTTAACAGGAAGATCTCCGGCAGGACCAGGCTCAGGGAGGGGCGTCCATGTGCTGCGACTGTTTGAGGCGACAGAGGGAAGACAGGATAAAAGACCTGCTGTAGAAGAGAGCCAGAGATTAATAACAATTAATGACTCAATGCAGAGAGGTCTACGCATGGGACAGTGTGAAACGTAATTTCAATTCCTTTGTATGGCAAGTACATTTGAAGAAATTGACAAATAAAAAGTATTCTATTCTATTCTAGAGGTCTTTTAACACATAGTGAGTGAGAAAGGTGACTGAAGAAGACACACTCACTGCATCATGGGAATCCCCCAGCAGCGTAAACCTATTGCAGCAAAACTAAGGGAGGATTCAGGGTCACCTGATCTAGCCCTAACGATATCGAACTCCATAATTAACCTTGGGAGAAGAGGACTCTCCATTTGCATGTACAAATTGGAGTCTGTTAGATAGATATGATACAAACCACTGCAGTGCAGTACCTGTAATACCTACAGCATGTTCTAATCGCTCTAATAGGATATTATGGTCGACAGTATTGAAGAGTACAGAGATGAGTCCACTGTCAGAGGCCATAAGAAGATCATTTGTAACCTTCACTAAAGCTGTTTCTGTGCTGTGATGAGCTCTGAAACCTGACTGAAACTCTTCAATAAGCCATTCCTCTGCAGATGATCTGTTAGCTGTTTGACAACTACTCTTTCAAGGATGTTTGATATGAAAGGAAGGTTGGAGATAGTAAGATGTTCTGGCTTTGCGGAGGGCTTTCTTATAAAGCAGCAAACTATTTCTCCAGGCTAAATGATGATCCTTTAAATTTGTGACACGCCATTTCCTCTCCAGATTACGAGTTATCTGCTTTAGGCTACGTGTTTGAGAATTATACCACGGAGTCAGGTACTTCTGATTTGAGACCTTAGTTTTCACCGGAGCTACAGTATCCAGAGTCGTACGTAGTGAGGAGGTAAAATTATTAACAAGATAATCGACCTCTGTTGGAGTAGCGTTCAGGTAGCTGCTCTGCTCTGTGTTGTTACAGGGCATTGAAGATGCTAATTATATTTTTAAACTTAGTTATAGCAGATGTCTTTCAGAAAGACATCTACTGTGATGAAGTCTACTCCCCACTGCTATGTAATCAATTATTGTAAATTTAAAAGTAATTAGGAAATGATCAGACAGGAGAGGGTTTTCAGGAAACACCCTTAAATGTTCTGTTTCTATGCCATATGTTAAAACAAGATCTAGAGTGTGATTGAAGTGCTGGGTGGGTATTTTCAATAATGGCTTCTATTGTAGTTAGGCGATGTATAGAACTGATATCTTTCTTTTTTTGAAGTGATAGATTCCTTTCACTTGTGATATCTGCACTTATGTGTGGGTGGCGACCTTTTCCCAATGTGTGCTTAACATTAAAGCTGCATTATGAACAACAAGCACTAGTCATTGGTTTGACGCATTAAGTTTAAAATAAGCTGTTTGCTGATTAAATGTCAAGGGATAATATGATTTATCCGTGAATACTGGCCAGGGTAAACTAAGTCATTCCAGTTTGTGTAAATTGATGTGAATGTTACGTCCCTCTGCAGCTTTTAATCGTCTCAGTGTTTTCAGCTGGTGCTAATTGGCCACACCTAGTCAGGTGTGGATAAAAGCATACCTGAGGCAAGCTTTCCGGCAGTGCACTAGTCTTTGCCTTGGTGGCACCAGCCATTTTAGCCAACCTGGTTTTCCATTTTAGGATGAAACCTCTTCTCACCCACACTCTGTTATTCATCTCCCTTTTTTTTATGTTGCGGCTTTTGAGCCGGGTCGTAACAGTGAATAGAGCTCAAACTTCAAACTGTGCCTTTGTGTGGTGTACTGTGGTGTATCATTTAGATTTAAATAAAATGGTTCATGGAAAAAAAAATTTCAATTTAAAACAAAATGTCATTTAATCATTTGAAATGATCATTATTAGAACATTAACTTTGTAAAGTTCGTGGAAAAAAGTTATAATAAAAATAAATAGAAGATAAAATCATTCTCATAAATTGTGTCAAATGATTTCTGTTATGTTCTCCAGAAAGCCCAGTGGACGTGGGGATGTAACAGAAAAAATGTCTGGGTTGAAAATGGATACAAGGTGGCAAAACTGGGAATAAAATAATGGTTAATAATTAATCTAAAACAGAAAAGTAAAGATAACAAAACCTACATGTAGGACACAAAAACCATAAGCCAAAAGGTTAGGCAAAGCACACTCCTGTCCTCAGGTGTAATTTGCCACAAGCACACACAGAGCTCACAGAGCAAAGGTACACTGAACCTCTCCTCTCCCTGACCTCAGAAACTCTTAGCCCTAATTACAGAGTGATATCAGCTGCAAAGACAGAAAGTCATACCCACAGGCGCAAAATCACAGTAGGTACAGCCTAATTAAACAACTGTGAATGAATAAATAATGTCTTTAATATATAGGAGATAAACAGCATCTGTTTAAATACATGTTGAATAGCCACGATGTACACAGATGTTATGGTTGGGTTAGGGACAGAAAAACTATGTAAAGAATTCTGAATATGAATAATAACTATGACAATATTCATTTAATACCAATGCCTTGGCTATGCCCTCAAAAATAAATGTATCTACTTAATAACGGTCAAACAGGGAAACACCAAGTCAGCTGCAGTTTAAATGTTGACTTTAACTAATTTCATTACCTATACGTTTTCCATTGATTGTCTTCCAAAAGAATAACACAAAATTTTATATTTAACGGAGTCTGGTGAAATTAAATGTACTTGATTTGAATGCATTCAGCATGGTTTCCTTAAATAAACCTTTCATTTATATATTTCAGATGCATTTACTCAAATATTGCTTCTTAGGAGTGAAGAATCATTTGTTCCACTGATGTAAGTGGATTTAAGAGGAAGTGTAATCTGTTTTCTTTCCATTCTCCTTATGGCAAAATATGTTTGGGGTTTTTTCTTTCTTTTTTCATTTTCTATTTGTTGGCTTTTTTTGGCCCTGCGACAGACTGGCGGCCTGTCCAGGGTGTACCCCGCCTCTTGCCCTATGACAGCTGGGATAGGCTCCAGCACCCCCCGCGACCCTGAAAAAGATAAGCGGTAGCGAATGGATGGATGGATGGATGGCTTTTTTTGTGAATATTTGCTTTTACACTTTTTGGTTTTTCAGAGAGATGTTGGAATAAAAAATATTTTTTAGGAGTCATATCAGGAGAAAAATCTGGGATTTCTTTTTACAGCCAGCACTTACTTATGGATGAAATAAAGGAATAACCTAAAATAAAAGCACCACTGCTTCATTTTGCCAGTGAGCTGCATGTAGGGGTTACTCTCCAATATTAGTATATTACATTACATTACCCTCCAATGATAGCTGACAGTTTCAAACTTTACACCTCCCATTCGTCCTTCCTCCAAAGCATGGACCTCCTGATCGTGGTTTCCTATATTGATATGTTTATGAGGACATGACAATTTCTGATGATTGAATGAGGGTTGGCTAGTCTTACTGTTTTGTGTGTCTTAAGAACTGAAAACACACACACACACACACACACACACACACACACACACACACACACACACACACACACACACACACACACACACACACACACACATACGTGTTTTCATGATATATCAGTACCTATGACAAAAATGTGACAAATGGGAACGTGCCTTTCTGAAGGTCCTAGAGGCATGGGAATCACAAAAAATTTGACCCATGCTTCCAGGAACACGCCCATCTGTTGAGATTTTGGCTAGGGTTAAATTTTGGTCAAACCTGAATTTACTGCTACTTATGAGGACACTGTCAGGTTTATGTGACTTATGAGTACCATAAGGTCACACACACTGATATTTCATGTTTAGGTGAATTGTGAAGCCCATGGATACACACATAATTTTCAAGTATACATGACTTATAAGGACCAGGTAAGGGTAGGGTCTGTATTTTCAGCTTGGCTCCTTTTGAGATTACAATATAATAGGCATGGATGCACAATAGTAATGCTCACCAGTCGGGTAACTTCTGACAGAAATATCAGACATTCATGTGTTAATACAACACAGTAAATCTGAGCTGTATAGAGACTTAAAAAGAGACATAGCTCAAAAATGTGGTCAGTCTACTTTTTAAGTCTTAATATTGTATTGCATTAATTTTGCAGTGAATGTTTATGTGAATAAAAACATGGAACATTTTCTGCCTTTCTTATTTTTTAATTACAAAATGCACCCATAATAAACAGATTTATGGGTATAAACAATGCAATGCAGAGACCTGTAATACTGAAATAACTGTGAGTGACCTGCAATACTGAAATAACTGAGAGTAACAAACTATCTCCCTTGAGTATTAACTTATGATGGCAAAAACCAGGAGAAAGGACTGAGTAACTTAGTCATTACTAACCCAACAGACAAAGTCAAAAATTAAAAAAAAATAAAAATGAAAATCAAGTTAATTTTAACTGATGCAGCATTCCTGAACCTGCATTTTGTAATTTTATTTATTCATCTTTCTTTTCAATGCTACGATCCTGTTGTGGATGTAATACTTTATGGCAACCCAGTCTCTGCCTTTCAGAGCTGCCGGCTCTGCTTGGATGCAGGAGTCACATTCCTTTTTGCCAGGTACTTTGCAGCTTGTTATGAAATGAAGTAAGTGCCGCTCAACAGCCTTTACTTCATCATCTGTCCACTTGCACCTTGCCTTCCCAGCTGTCATAAATGGAAACAAAAAAATATATATCTTAATGCGAATGTAAGATAAGAGAGAAAATATTCTAGTTTCTAATGTGAATACAAAATGTTCTTAAACCTTGCTTTCTACTGGAGCACTTTAAAGGAGCAATAAGCACAATTCATCATACTTAGGTTGAAGGAATTAAAAATGGCTATGTGAATAATTAGAGGTGTAATTTCATCTGGAGTACAGCATGAAGTCACAATCCCTCTCTCTGTGTTGATCTCCAGCCATAGACTTTGGTTTGGTTTACAGGCAGTGCAAAACAGCACACCTAGCAGTGAAAAGATATTGCTTAATGCTCCTTCAAGGATGCTTGGGATGAACCATTTGAAGTGCTGTGTTCTGCTGGGAATCAAAGAAGATGAAACGGATTATGATAAAAGCTCTTAATAGTGTCATGCCTGAAAAGAATAAACATGTCCATTGATAACAAGTATATTCACTTAAAACATTTTGTATATGGGTACCTTTACCCTTTCCTGGTGCAGTGTTGCTGATGTTTTTGCTGTCCAGGGTGGTTGAGGCAGAAGCGCCCTCCATATTGTCCAGGGTGGTTGAGGCAGAAGCGCCCTCCATGTTGTCCAGGGTGGTTGAGGCAGATGCGCCCTCCATATTGTCCAGGGTGGTTGAGGCAGAAGCGCCCTCCATATTGTCCAGGGTGGTTGAGGCAGAAGCGCCCTCCATATTGTCCAGGGTGGTTGAGGCAGAAGCGCCCTCCATATTGTCCAGGGTGGTTGAGGCAGAAGCGCCCTCCATATTGTCCAGGGAAGCTGAGTAAAGTGTGTGGCTTTGGTTCCCAGAATTCTTGGTCCTTGAGCCTTTGAAAAGTAACAGTGAAATATGAGAATTAATGCATTTTTTGTTTGCATTGTAGGCAAAGTCAGCATTGGGCAGTGTGTAATTTTACATTTGATATGAATATTTTACATGTGAACATAATCTACTAATAATACTCATCAATACTCAGGCATCTCCCTAGAAACACATTACTTGCATGCACTACCTCTCAACTTGTGTGCCTAATCTCACAGAAGTGGACCTCCTAATCCTTATATTTAATATTTGCCTTTGTATTGCTTATTTATGCATTTTGCCAGACTTCAATGTATCCAGATCTTTTAGTACCATATTAATGAATGGTGTCTACCATTCTGTCTAATTTATATACTGCTGTCCCTTAAGCCCATCTAACATGACATGAACCTATTAACTGTCTCCAGTCTCATAACTTAAAGATATTATCACACACTGGGCAAGTCAAGATACCTTTGTGTTGTTGAGGGTCAGTGATGGTTTCTCCACTGGAATCATCATCACTTGTAACTGCTTCATCTTGTTGGGGAAAAATAATCAAGACAAAATATTTATATTAGAATCTGCTGAACATTCACAAATGTTATATTCAAAGATAACTATGTTTCAAAAAAAAAGAAAGAAAAAGAATTCACCATCAGGATTGATCACGATGTCATCCAGCCCTTTCCCCTGCAGGTCAGACAGTTTTCCTTTCTCCATTGCAATCAACAGTTTGCTGACTTTTGCAAGCTGCAGGGTACTCTCTGGAAGCCGGTAGAATTCTCGATGGACACGGATGTCGTGTCCGAGAAAGGTGGCAAGTTGATCCATTTCATTTTCTTTTAGATTTAGTACTGTGGACAAAGTGGCAACTTGTTTCCGCAATCTTGTTGAGGTAAGGGCCTCTGGGTACTTTGCACCACATTTATTTGCATACTTGCGAAAGCAGTCAGAGCCTCTGTAATGGGAAAGGACACCTGGGCGTGCAAACAAGTACACATTCTCTGTGTGGACTTGACACTCACTTCTGGCTTTTGCGAGGAGCTCCATTGCAGTGATCATGTCAGGTGTGAGAAGCACAGGTACCATTCTTGATCTTTTACCACGAATCTCAACTCTGTCAAAGTGCTTTGCAAGTTTCCTTTCAAACTCAGTTAGGCCGATCATAATGTCAGGATTCAACTCTGTGCGATTCCGGGATGTAAAAACCTGGAGCTCCATTTTTGAAACTTCTCCTTGCCTTTTTCTGTTAAATAGCACTACCTGCGTCAAAGTCACTTGAGCAAGATTTCCGAAGGTTGTGCTGTTGGGTTTTTCCTCAAGGTCCTTCATGTACATTGCGGACTTGGTAGCAAGAAACGTATGCAGCAGTGACACATCCTGTGTAAATGGCAAAATCTGTGGTTTATTCCATTTGGCTTGTTGAAGTGTGCCCAATGCAGCAGCTGAAATGGACTCTGACCACTTTTTTTCATACAGAGTGGCAAACTGCTTGGCTGACTCTGCAACATCATAGCGATTTGCAATGATGGCTTTACACTGCACAATGCTTGCAACTTTAGCCAAACTGTGTCCCAATTTCAAAGCCAAGGATGGGGTTTTATATGAGTTGCTCTCCTGCTCATAACCAGCAACAGCTCTGACTGCTTGTATGACATGGGGAAAGTTAGTAGGCATAACAAGGTCTTCTGTGCTCTTCAAAGGTGTCATAGCTCTGGCGGTTATCAATAACCTTGCGATCTCTCTCATTTTTTGGCGTATGTAATCATTCCTTTTCTCATTTGGTTTTCTGCCATTGTACAGTGACTCACCAAGGCTAAGAATGTCTCTTTCACTCGTTACTACAAAGGAAATGTCATCCTGATTCATTTCACAAGCAATCTTCCATACAGCTTCATGAACTTGATCAGGTTTCGGTAATTGCAGATGCATCCGTCTTTGCCCAGAGGGAGCTTCCTCATTAAACCTCTGAGGGCACCTTCTCACATGCCTCCAAAGGCAATTTCTTGCATATAGTCCTTGACAAAATTTACAATGACGGTAGTCCTCAGATCCTGTTGCAGTAGTGGGTCTTCGACAAGCAACCATTTCTCCAGCACCAGAAGTTGCCACAGTAGCATTATGGTTAAAGTTTCCCCTCTTCTTAATAGAGCGCAACAAATCTCTTCTTTTGCAGGATCTTTTATCATAACTGAAGGCGCTTGCAACTTCCGGCACATTACCGTGGGCAGATTCAAGGTGTCTTGCCAATTTAGCAATGGCCTTTTTACAATATAGACAGTATTGCTTCTTGTTGTACTTGCTTTGTCTTTCCGTGTTTGGCAAAGGTAGGACTTTTATGGAGCTGTTTTTAGGTGATGTGACCCCTGATGAATCAAAACTGCGGCTTGTTACCGAAGTACTGTGACTGCTACTTCTCAGTGACAAATTAAATGTTGTAGGTTTCTCTGAACTGGTGATCTTCCCACTGTGTCCTGAAGCCGTCTCCAATGCCATGTCATTTAACGTATTTTGGGGAACCACAGATTCTGTGATTTTCATGTCCACACTATGGAGACTTGTGTCAGAGGAACTGCCACATGAATCTGGGAAATAGTCTTTATCTTCATAATCCGTACAATCTGAGAATTCATCAGTAGAGATCTGAACGAAAATGGAGAAAAAGCATCTTTGTATTTATTAATAGCTAGAATGTCATTCCCCCTCCAGTAGCAGAACATTCTGCAATCCATGACTTGATGAAAATGCATTCATGTAGTAAATATGCATAATTACATAGCATAAACAATTTGAATGAAGAAGAAAAAGGCAGCTGGCTTACCTGCTCTGAGGTAGCTGTCTGGTGAAAGGTGAGAACTCGAGATTTTTGTCTGGCCTTACATGAAACGTAACAAATTCAATGTTTGTAATTATAATTCATTTGAAAACTAACTCAAAATTATTATGCAATTCAGTATACTGTAAAAAACATTGCTAGTAGGTTAAGAAATGAAAAACAATGCATTGTAACTTAATAGTGAGAATGATTTACCATACATATCACACACTTTGTGTCATGTCATTTTGACATAAAATCTTGGGTGAAAATTAATTTGTGAACCCTGTCAATCATTAATTATATTTGCTGAGATGAAAGGCTGCATTGAGTTCACATATATGTCACAGATACATTAGTGAACATTATTGACAGGAGGATCTGAGTTCCTTATGCCAGATTCTATAGAAACTTAACACAGTACAGTTCTGCTACCCAACAATATGAGGACAGTGTAACACACACACACTAGAGTTGTTGGTCCAACCATATGAGGACGTATTCTGAAACACACTCATGTTCTTCACAGCTTGAAACAATATGAGGACATGACGACTGAACACATGTAGAGTTCATGTTCCTGACTTCTAACTTGTCCTGCTGTTGTCAATAAAAGCTCTAAACCCAACACTGATGTAAAGCCATCTATTTCCCCAGAAATCCAATCATGTAAACTGATCAGCTTCAGGTTAAATGGACAAAAACATGTGTAAAAGGACAAAAATATTAAATTTAATTGGAATAAAGACCAAATTGATGCTTTAAAGGGAAAGTTTGGACTAACAACTGGTATAGCCAATTTCCTTCTCCTAATGCCAATGTTGATTTTGGGAAACTTTCACTCAAACTGATTGTTTTAATACAATCAAAGTGCATTTCATTTATGCACTAGGCCCAACTGACTCATATACTTGATTCCAAATACCAAAATTTATGCGTAACCTGTTGGAGGAATGAAGTGGATTTGTCACTCACTTCTTGGTCTGTAGGAGGTTGGGACAGGGTCTCAACACTTGGTGTCTGCAACAAAAGACAACAATATAATGTCAGAAACATTCTGTACTACAAATGCTGACTAGCTCATTAACTACAGATCATACTTGTTTCAGTGAACATTATTACAGAAGGATCTGACTTCCTTATGCCAGATTCTATAGAAACTTAACACAGTACAGTTCTGCTACCCAACAATATGAGGACAGTGTAACACACACACACTAGAGTTGTTGGTCCAACCATATGAGGACGTATTCTGAAACACACTCATGTTCTTCACAGCTTGAAACAATATGAGGACATGACGACTGAACACATGTAGAGTTCATGTTCCTGACTTCTAACTTGTCCTGCTGTTGTCAATAAAAGCTCTAAACCCAACACTGATGTAAAGCCATCTATTTCCCCAGAAATCCAATCATGTAAACTGATCAGCTTCAGGTTAAATGGACAAAAACATGTGTAAAAGGACAAAAATATTAAATTTAATTGGAATAAAGACCAAATTGATGCTTTAAAGGGAAAGTTTGGACTAACAACTGGTATAGCCAATTTCCTTCTCCTAATGCTAATGTTGATTTTGGGAAACTTTCACTCAAACTGATTGTTTTAATACAATCAAAGTGCATTTCATTTATGCACTAGGCCCAACTGACTCATATACTTGATTCCAAATACAAAAATTTATGCGTAACCTGTTGGAGGAATGAAGTGGATTTGTCACTCACTTCTTGGTCTGTAGGAGGTTGGGACAGGGTCTCAACACTTGGTGTCTGCAACAAAAGACAACAATATAATGTCAGAAACATTCTGTACTACAAATGCTGACTAGCTCATTAACTACAGATCATACTTGTTTCAGTGAACATTATTACAGAAGGATCTGACTTCCTTATGCCAGATTCTATAGAAACTTAACACAGTACAGTTCTGCTACCCAACAATATGAGGACAGTGTAACACACACACACTAGAGTTGTTGGTCCAACCATATGAGGACGTATTCTGAAACACACTCATGTTCTTCACAGCTTGAAACAATATGAGGACATGACGACTGAACACATGTAGAGTTCATGTTCCTGACTTCCAACTTGTCCTGCTGTTGTCAATAAAAGCTCTAAACCCAACACTGATGTAAAGCCATCTATTTCCCCAGAAATCCAATCATGTAAACTGATCAGCTTCAGGTTAAATGGACAAAAACATGCGTAAAAGGACAAAAATATTAAATTTAATTGGAATAAAGACCAAATTGATGCTTTAAAGGGAAAGTTTGGACTAACAACTGGTATAGCCAATTTCCTTCTCCTAATGCTAATGTTGATTTTGGGAAACTTTCACTCAAACTGATTGTTTTAATACAATCAAAGTGCATTTCATTTATGCACTAGGCCCAACTGACTCATATACTTGATTCCAAATACAAAAATTTATGCGTAACCTGTTGGAGGAATGAAGTGGATTTGTCACTCACTTCTTGGTCTGTAGGAGGTTGGGACAGGGTCTCAACACTTGGTGTCTGCAACAAAAGACAACAATATAATGTCAGAAACATTCTGTACTACAAATGCTGACTAGCTCATTAACTACAGATCATACTTGTTTCAGTGAACATTATTACAGAAGGATCTGACTTCCTTATGCCAGATTCTATAGAAACTTAACACAGTACAGTTCTGCTACCCAACAATATGAGGACAGTGTAACACACACACACTAGAGTTGTTGGTCCAACCATATGAGGACGTATTCTGAAACACACTCATGTTCTTCACAGCTTGAAACAATATGAGGACATGACGACTGAACACATGTAGAGTTCATGTTCCTGACTTCCAACTTGTCCTGCTGTTGTCAATAAAAGCTCTAAACCCAACACTGATGTAAAGCCATCTATTTCCCCAGAAATCCAATCATGTAAACTGATCAGCTTCAGGTTAAATGGACAAAAACATGTGTAAAAGGACAAAAATATTAAATTTAATTGGAATAAAGACCAAATTGATGCTTTAAAGGGAAAGTTTGGACTAACAACTGGTATAGCCAATTTCCTTCTCCTAATGCTAATGTTGATTTTGGGAAACTTTCACTCAAACTGATTGTTTTAATACAATCAAAGTGCATTTCATTTATGCACTAGGCCCAACTGACTCATATACTTGATTCCAAATACAAAAATTTATGCGTAACCTGTTGGAGGAATGAAGTGGATTTGTCACTCACTTCTTGGTCTGTAGGAGGTTGGGACAGGGTCTCAACACTTGGTGTCTGCAACAAAAGACAACAATATAATGTCAGAAACATTCTGTACTACAAATGCTGACTAGCTCATTAACTACAGATCATACTTGTTTCAGTGAACATTATTACAGAAGGATCTGACTTCCTTATGCCAGATTCTATAGAAACTTAACACAGTACAGTTCTGCTACCCAACAATATGAGGACAGTGTAACACACACACACTAGAGTTGTTGGTCCAACCATATGAGGACGTATTCTGAAACACACTCATGTTCTTCACAGCTTGAAACAATATGAGGACATGACGACTGAACACATGTAGAGTTCATGTTCCTGACTTCCAACTTGTCCTGCTGTTGTCAATAAAAGCTCTAAACCCAACACTGATGTAAAGCCATCTATTTCCCCAGAAATCCAATCATGTAAACTGATCAGCTTCAGGTTAAATGGACAAAAACATGCGTAAAAGGACAAAAATATTAAATTTAATTGGAATAAAGACCAAATTGATGCTTTAAAGGGAAAGTTTGGACTAACAACTGGTATAGCCAATTTCCTTCTCCTAATGCTAATGTTGATTTTGGGAAACTTTCACTCAAACTGATTGTTTTAATACAATCAAAGTGCATTTCATTTATGCACTAGGCCCAACTGACTCATATACTTGATTCCAAATACAAAAATTTATGCGTAACCTGTTGGAGGAATGAAGTGGATTTGTCACTCACTTCTTGGTCTGTAGGAGGTTGGGACAGGGTCTCAACACTTGGTGTCTGCAACAAAAGACAACAATATAATGTCAGAAACATTCTGTACTACAAATGCTGACTAGCTCATTAACTACAGATCATACTTGTTTCAGTGAACATTATTACAGAAGGATCTGACTTCCTTATGCCAGATTCTATAGAAACTTAACACAGTACAGTTCTGCTACCCAACAATATGAGGACAGTGTAACACACACACACTAGAGTTGTTGGTCCAACCATATGAGGACGTATTCTGAAACACACTCATGTTCTTCACAGCTTGAAACAATATGAGGACATGACGACTGAACACATGTAGAGTTCATGTTCCTGACTTCTAACTTGTCCTGCTGTTGGCAATAAAAGCTCTAAACCCAACACTGATGTAAAGCCATCTATTTCCCCAGAAATCCAATCATGTAAACTGATCAGCTTCAGGTTAAATGGACAAAAACATGTGTAAAAGGACAAAAATATTAAATTTAATTGGAATAAAGACCAAATTGATGCTTTAAAGGGAAAGTTTGGACTAACAACTGGTATAGCCAATTTCCTTCTCCTAATGCTAATGTTGATTTTGGGAAACTTTCACTCAAACTGATTGTTTTAATACAATCAAAGTGCATTTCATTTATGCACTAGGCCCAACTGACTCATATACTTGATTCCAAATACAAAAATTTATGCGTAACCTGTTGGAGGAATGAAGTGGATTTGTCACTCACTTCTTGGTCTGTAGGAGGTTGGGACAGGGTCTCAACACTTGGTGTCTGCAACAAAAGACAACAATATAATGTCAGAAACATTCTGTACTACAAATGCTGACTAGCTCATTAACTACAGATCATACTTGTTTCAGTGAACATTATTACAGAAGGATCTGACTTCCTTATGCCAGATTCTATAGAAACTTAACACAGTACAGTTCTGCTACCCAACAATATGAGGACAGTGTAACACACACACACTAGAGTTGTTGGTCCAACCATATGAGGACGTATTCTGAAACACACTCATGTTCTTCACAGCTTGAAACAATATGAGGACATGACGACTGAACACATGTAGAGTTCATGTTCCTGACTTCCAACTTGTCCTGCTGTTGTCAATAAAAGCTCTAAACCCAACACTGATGTAAAGCCATCTATTTCCCCAGAAATCCAATCATGTAAACTGATCAGCTTCAGGTTAAATGGACAAAAACATGCGTAAAAGGACAAAAATATTAAATTTAATTGGAATAAAGACCAAATTGATGCTTTAAAGGGAAAGTTTGGACTAACAACTGGTATAGCCAATTTCCTTCTCCTAATGCTAATGTTGATTTTGGGAAACTTTCACTCAAACTGATTGTTTTAATACAATCAAAGTGCATTTCATTTATGCACTAGGCCCAACTGACTCATATACTTGATTCCAAATACAAAAATTTATGCGTAACCTGTTGGAGGAATGAAGTGGATTTGTCACTCACTTCTTGGTCTGTAGGAGGTTGGGACAGGGTCTCAACACTTGGTGTCTGCAACAAAAGACAACAATATAATGTCAGAAACATTCTGTACTACAAATGCTGACTAGCTCATTAACTACAGATCATACTTGTTTCAGTGAACATTATTACAGAAGGATCTGACTTCCTTATGCCAGATTCTATAGAAACTTAACACAGTACAGTTCTGCTACCCAACAATATGAGGACAGTGTAACACACACACACTAGAGTTGTTGGTCCAACCATATGAGGACGTATTCTGAAACACACTCATGTTCTTCACAGCTTGAAACAATATGAGGACATGACGACTGAACACATGTAGAGTTCATGTTCCTGACTTCTAACTTGTCCTGCTGTTGTCAATAAAAGCTCTAAACCCAACACTGATGTAAAGCCATCTATTTCCCCAGAAATCCAATCATGTAAACTGATCAGCTTCAGGTTAAATGGACAAAAACATGTGTAAAAGGACAAAAATATTAAATTTAATTGGAATAAAGACCAAATTGATGCTTTAAAACCCTCGCAGGGTTTAAGTCAAAATAGGGACCCTTTGGATTTTTGATTCTCAATATATCAATCATTTTAAAGACTAGTTGCATGAAACTTGGCCATGAGGTGCATTTTAGGATTATTTTTAAAATTCAATGATCCCCTCTATGGTGTGGTATATAGCAAAGGAGATTCACATAAGTGTTACCTCCTGTGTTCCTCGTACCATTTTGGGTCCCATTGACTCCCATTATAATCACATATTTTCGATATACTGTAATCCTGACATGTGATGATGCCTTTCTCGTGAATACCTAATGGATCTAAGCCTCAGCCTTCAAAATAAAGGAAAAATAGGTTTTGGATCAAATGAGCAAAATATTAGGTACAGCACCACCATAGACATTTTCAGTGGTTTTGAATGCAGGACATGGTTAACTTACTATGCAAAATATATGACAATAAAACAGCTCACCACCATAAAATAGTCTTGATGTAGTGGAACTGATATAACAGAGTGGTGTGAATGTGATTGAGAATATATTTATACTGTGTGTCGGTCGCAAACAAAACAGCCTATAGAGCCGCCTTCTTGAAGTGAACAACGGCAGCCTGCTCCGTTTTTTGTTTTTTTTCCCTTCTCTGAACCTCTGTCAGTGTTATGTTGCTCCACTTTGCACACACTGGCTCTGAGCAAGTGAGTGGAGGGGTGCAAAAGCAGCCACGTGTTTGCAGAGCAGAGGGGGGAGGGGTGCAAAAACAGCCACCTGTTTGCAGAGCAGAGGGGGAGGGGCAGTTGTTACTCTCTCAGTGGCAAGTCAGCAGAGCTGGGGGAGAGACAGAGAGAGATCCTTTTCTATCTTCTTGGATTCAAGTGCACATTTGAAGTCTGTGAGAATAGTTTGCAGCCTTGTCTTGCGAGTCATTTCTGCACAGACGCCACGAAATGCACAGACGCGCGCACGGACAACACAAAGCGCACGGTCAATTTCGGGGAGGCTCTTGCTGAGAAAGAGCAGCAGTGCTCATCGTGCAAACAGCACATTATTATCGTAACTGCTGCAAAGATATATATATTCTGAAACACACTCATGTTCTTCACAGCTTGAAACAATATGAGGACATGACGACTGAACACATGTAGAGTTCATGTTCCTGACTTCTAACTTGTCCTGCTGTTGGCAATAAAAGCTCTAAACCCAACACTGATGTAAAGCCATCTATTTCCCCAGAAATCCAATCATGTAAACTGATCAGCTTCAGGTTAAATGGACAAAAACATGTGTAAAAGGACAAAAATATTAAATTTAATTGGAATAAAGACCAAATTGATGCTTTAAAACCCTCGCAGGGTTTAAGTCAAAATAGGGACCCTTTGGATTTTTGATTCTCAATATATCAATCATTTTAAAGACTAGTTGCATGAAACTTGGCCATGAGGTGCATTTTAGGATTATTTTTAAAATTCAATGATCCCCTCTATGGTGTGGTATATAGCAAAGGAGATTCACATAAGTGTTACCTCCTGTGTTCCTCGTACCATTTTGGGTCCCATTGACTCCCATTATAATCACATATTTTCGATATACTGTAATCCTGACATGTGATGATGCCTTTCTCGTGAATACCTAATGGATCTAAGCCTCAGCCTTCAAAATAAAGGAAAAATAGGTTTTGGATCAAATGAGCACAATATTAGGTACAGCACCACCATAGACATTTTCAGTGGTTTTGAATGCAGGACATGGTTATCTTACTATGCAAAATACATGACAATAAAACAGCTCACCACCATAAAATAGTCTTGATGTAGTGGAACTGATATAACAGAGTGGTGTGAATGTGATTGAGAATATATTTATACTGTGTGTCGGTCGCAAACAAAACAGCCTATAGAGCCGCCTTCTTGAAGTGAACAACGGCAGCCTGCTCCGTTTTTTGTTTTTTTTCCCTTCTCTGAACCTCTGTCAGTGTTATGTTGCTCCACTTTGCACACACTGGCTCTGAGCAAGTGAGTGGAGGGGTGCAAAAGCAGCCACGTGTTTGCAGAGCAGAGGGGGGAGGGGTGCAAAAACAGCCACCTGTTTGCAGAGCAGAGGGGGGAGGGGCAGTTGTTACTCTCTCAGTGGCAAGTCAGCAGAGCTGGGGGAGAGACAGAGAGAGATCCTTTTCTATCTTCTTGGATTCAAGTGCACATTTGAAGTCTGTGAGAATAGTTTGCAGCCTTGTCTTGCGAGTCATTTCTGCACAGACGCCACGAAATGCACAGACGCGCGCACGGACAACACAAAGCGCACGGTCAATTTCGGGGAGGCTCTTGCTGAGAAAGAGCAGCAGTGCTCATCGTGCAAACAGCACATTATTATCGTAACTGCTGCAAAGATATATATATTCTGAAACACACTCATGTTCTTCACAGCTTGAAACAATATGAGGACATGACGACTGAACACATGTAGAGTTCATGTTCCTGACTTCCAACTTGTCCTGCTGTTGTCAATAAAAGCTCTAAACCCAACACTGATGTAAAGCCATCTATTTCCCCAGAAATCCAATCATGTAAACTGATCAGCTTCAGGTTAAATGGACAAAAACATGTGTAAAAGGACAAAAATATCAAATTTTGTCAATAAAACCCTGCACTGATCTACTCTGGTCTTCATAACTAGAATAATATCTATCTTTTCATCTACTAATATTTAACATTCCCTGTACTGCACAATCTATGAAGAGGATTTACTTACCAGAGCTCGCCATGGCCACATAGATTCTCCATAGTCATAGGTGATTTCACTCTCCGCTTGGATATTTTCAATAGCAAACAAGCAGAGATGAGGTTTATCCTGGACTGCCAGCTGTTTCATCTTGCAGTTTGGGTACTTGTGGTCATCATTAACCAGCCGGCCAAGTGAGTCGTCTTCACGGGAGGCATCAATGCTAAAAGTGAAGAAAAGAACATATGTTTTGTTCACTAAAAACATAATGTTGTAAAGAACAACTGATATTGTATATGCCTTTACTTACCACCATGTGCTATTTTTCCATTTAAAATCAAATAGGAAAGCAGTTTGCTTTTCTGTGTACTTTTTCTGCCGCTTGTCCCGTTCATGTTCTGAGATAAGCTCCCCACGGTACTCGACCACAAAGGATCCCTTTTCAATTGGTTCAGAGGCAAATACACCACGTCCTAATACAAGATGTTCAATAAGTAGCGTTAAGTAATACAATCCAAATCAGGTTTACTGCAGCTGATCAGCCACTGACAAAACATATGCAGAACAAACAATCACAAAATGTTTTAATTGTGAGGGGAACATCTAGATCAGGGGTGCCCAATCCCGGTCCTCGAGAGCTACTGTCCTGCAGCTTTTAGATGCATCCTTGTTCCACACAGCTCTCGAGGACCGGGATTGGGCACCCCTGATCTAGATGCTTACGTTCAGGGCTGCAACAAATGAGTTGATACAATAAATAAATGCTAATAATAAAAAAAACAATTATTAAAATAGTTGGCAACAAATTTCAAATACATGAAAATATAAAACATTTTTTAATCTAGATGATAGATAGATAGATAGCTAGCTTTGGGAGGTTCCCTCAGGGAAACTGAAGCAATTGTTATATATTTGTCACGGTCCGGGGCAGCGGCCGTGTGGAGAGTGGAAGGAGGACCCAAAACGCAGCACTTATTCAGGTGTGAGGGTGATTTATTGATAATATCAAACACAAAGTGGAGATGGCAAACAGAACTAAGGACGAAACTAAACTGGGATAAACTACACAGAGGAGTGGGAAACCTGAACATGAAGGGAGAACAGCAGGGAGAGCACGCAGAGGATTACACCAGGTATGAACACAGACGACGCGACGAGGAACAGAGGCAAACACACACTATAAATACACAGAGAGACACTGGGAAGTCACACACAGGTGGGAGACACAGCTGGACCTGATTAACCTGATGAGACAGGGGAACACTAACACCAGGGACCAACAGAGGGAGCACAAACCCAGAACCCAGTGTCTAAAATCCCAAACACAAACCATCCCAAAACAGCCATGAATAATAATGAAAGTAATAACAATAAAGAACATAAACACAAAGTCACCGAGTCATGGTCGCAGGGCCATGACAATATTATTAAATATTATAATAAACATTAGTTGCAGCTCTGGTAATATTCATGCAGTAGCCATAAGGAACAACATATAACATACCTTTATAGTCATTGATCCATTGGGCCTTTAAACAAGTCTTGTCACTTCCAGATAAAATAAAGTGAGCAGCCTCTGCTTCAGGACGAAGTCTGAGTCTTCTTTTTGACATGTTCTTCACTCTCAATCTGCTCAACCTGTACACATCTTCATGAGAAAATGACGAAAAGTCAGCAAGACAAAACCAACCAGTACTTTCTTTACATGGTATTTTAAATAGTATTTTTCTGCCTTAAATCACAATGCATTTGCTAATCAGACTAATATACCAGTGCAAACACTTTGCAAATGTAATGTGACATTAAATTACCTTCACGAATAATTTTAACATGCCAATACACGGACAAATACTGTAAACTGTGCACTTTACTACCATTACTGAAACACTAATGTCATTGATTTGTGCTAAACAGGAAAACATTAATATTATCATTTAAATCCCAGAAAACATATCTTGAAATAAAATGCGTGTTGCAGTAGCCTACACTTAAAAAGAGCTTAGACTGACTGTCTCTGCAGTTGCAGATGCAGAGAGGGCCGCAGGCCCTTTAACTCCAGTGGAAATTTAAAAACAACTAAATTTAACTTCTAATATCTGTTGCTGAAGATAAAGCTAAAGTATATTTATTACCATTTATCATCATGCACCATTTTAACTTTATTCAAATCGATTGTGTGTTGTTTCCATTCCATTTAGCTAACATTAATTAGCTTGTTAAACATACAACTTTACCTCGAAGCGTGCGTGAAATCATGGATATCAAAGGTAAATACATACGTCAAGATAAATCTCTCCTGAGTGCTGAAGGTCCCGGATGTGCCGTTCACGCAGAGCTCCGGTGAGTTTGTATCTTGCCGTGACCAGCAGCTCTTTGGTTGAGGCTTTCGAACAATCAGATGCATCTTTACTCACTTGTTGACCAATCAGAGACGTCGTTCTATGCTCCACTGACGAAATGCTGCATCCTCTCACCAGCCACGGTCTCTCCTCGTCCATTTAACAACAAAAACACAGCAACACGTGCTGGATTTGAGGTAGGAACACTTGAGAACTGTCACAATGTTTTGCAAACTGCTGTTACAGTTAATTTCGTTCCGTTAATTTGTTTGGTTCCTATTCTTAAGTAACACTTAATACACATGTGGTTAGCTTGCTGGTCTAGTTTAAGTTAGCATGGGCATGCTGTTCACTGAGAGTAAGGCCAAAATTGTCCTGATATTGTCAGTGTGTTATCATAAACATGCAGCACCCCTAGACCCCCAAGTTAAAATACAGATAATAGATAAGCAATTTAAGAAAATAAGTATAATGTATATAATAAATGATTTTACTGTCACTTTCCTGGGTCTGTTGACCCAGCGTTTTAAGTTTTAGTTTGTTTGGATGTCGATGTTTGTTTATAAGTTCTTTAGGTTTGCTAAGTTCATTTGTTTATTAGATTACCCTTGTGATGTCTGTTTTATTGGGAAAGTCCTTGTCCTATATGCAATGAGTCTAGTTTTGTTTCCCCTTGTCCCAGCTGTTCCTCATCCCCTCATTATCTCTCTGTGTACTTACAGTGGCTTGCAAAAGTATTCGTCCCTCTTTTCCACATTTTGTCACATTACTGCCACAAACACAAATTGTCATGGTCCTGGGTCGGTGACCTAGCGCTTTTAGTTTATTATCATTTTCTAGTTTATTATTATTATGATGATGATTATTATTATTGTTTGAGTTCTATGTCTTATATTTGGTCTGCCTCTGAGTCTGTGTCTCTGTCTATGGTGTCACCCCGTATGTTTGTGAATCTGTCTGTTTAGTTCTGTGTCTTGTTTGGTTCCCCGTGTCTGAGTTTCCTGTTTTATTGTGAAGGTCTCTGTCTGATGTGAGTGTGTTCACTTTACGTTTCCCCTGTCCCGTCAGCTCTGATTCCTCCCAGCCGTGTTGCCCTCCTGTCTCTCATCCCCTGATTACTGGTGTGTGTATTTAAGCCCTGTGTGTTCTCCTGCCTGTTGCCGGTTTGTCTGTGTTCCTCCGTGTCAGTCTGTGTTACTCGGTGTCCTGCTGGTCGTCGTCTCGGCCTCTCAGCCCTTTGTCGTATGCTCCCAGGTCTGTTATTTTAGTTCTTCCCAGTTTAGGTGTCTTCAGTTATTTGTCATGCCCCACTGCTTGTTTGCCACTACACCTTGTAAATAAACTTCACTAGCATTTTCATCCACTGCTTGCATCTCGGGTCCTCCTTCCTCCACACCACACGGCTCGCCTTCCCAGCCGTGACACAAATCAATTTTAATGGAATCCAATTGCAGCAAAAGGTGGTTCTACAAAGTATTGACTCAGGGGGCTGAATAATTGCGCACACCCCACTTTTCAGTTATTTATTTGTAAAAAATGTTTGGAATCATGTATGATTTTTGTTCCACTTCTCACGTGTACACCACTTTGTATTGGTCTTTCACGTGGAATTCCAATAAAATTGATTCATGTTTGTGGCTGTAATGTGACAAAATGTGGGAAAGTTAAAGGGGGCCGAATACTTTTGCAAGCCACTGTAAGTCCTGTCCTAATTTGTTCAGTGTCAGGTCATCTGTTGTCTTTGGTGCCACGTTTCCATGTTCCAGGTATCTTTGTATCCATGTCAGGTTTCATGGTTTTTTTGTTTTTTTTTTTTTTAATAAAAAATATTTTCCCCAGGTTAGGTTATTGTTTATCTTCACCTCTGCCTTCTGTTTTGTAATCTTTTAATTAAATTAAATTTTATTTATATAGCGCCAAATCACAACAACAATCGCCTGAAGGCGCTTTATATTGTACAGTAGATCGCACAATAATAGATACAGAGGAAAAACCCAACAATCATAGGACCACCTATGAGCAAGCGCTTTGGCGACAGTGGGAAGGAAAAACTCCCTTTTAACAGGAAGAAACCTCTGGCAGAACCAGGCTCAGGGAGCGGCGGGCATCTGCTGTGACTAGTTGGGGTGAGAAAAGGAAGACAGGACAAAGACATGCTGTGGATTAATAACAAGTATGATTCAGTGCAGAGAGGTCTATTAACACACAGTGAGTGAGAAAGGTGACTGGAAAGGAAAAAACTCAGTGCTTCATGGGAATCCCCCGGCAGCCTACATCTACTGCAGCACAACTAAGGGAGGATCCAGGGTCATCTGATCCAGCCCTAACTATATGCTTTAGCAAAAAGGAAAGTTTGAAGCCTAATCTTAAAAGTAGAGATTAATAAACGGCTTGCTTTCTGTTAATATTCAAATTTTCTTTCACGTTCCTTTGTGTCTGCATTTTGGTTCCACTCCTCAAATTCATACATATGTCTAACCGTTTTTCCCCACTCGGCGACACACCCGTCGGGGGTCAAACTCTGGTAATTCTGTTCTCAGACATGTGAAGCTAGAGACACCGGCAACCATAGTCAATTGTCTTCCAGGGGCCAGAGCAGGCGACATTGAAGGAAATTTAAAACTGCTGGCTAAGGGTAAACGTAAATTCAGTAAAATCATAATTCACGTCGGCAGTAATGACACCCGGTTACGCCAATCGGAGGTCACTAAAATCAATATTGAATCGGTGTGTAACTTTGCCAAAACAATGTCGGACTCTGTAGTTTTCTCTGGTCCCCTCCCCAATCAGACCAGGAGTGACATGTTTAGCCGCATGTTCTCCTTAAATTGCTGGCTGTCTGAGTGGTGTCCCAGAAACGATGTGGGCTTCATAGATAATTGGCAAACCTTCTGAAGGAAACCTGGTCTTGTAAGGAGAGACGGCATCCATCCCACTTTGGATGGAGCAGCTCTCATTTCTAGAAATATGGACAAATTAATTAAACCCCCCATAATATGACTATCCAGAGTTGGGACCAGGAAGCAGAGTTGCAGTCTTACACGCCTCTCTGCAGCTTCTCTTCTCCTGTTACCCCCCCCCCCCCCCCCCCCCAAAAAAAAAAACATCTCCTTTGAGACTGTGTCAGCTCCAAAACAGACAAAAAACAAAATAAAAACCAGCAACAAACAACTTAAACATAAACAATTACAAAGAAAGAACAATCGATTTGCCTTACAGAAACCTGGTTGCAGCAGGATGATTATGTTAGTTTAAATGAATCAACACCCCCGAGTCATTCTAACTACCAGAAACCTCGAAGCACAGGCCGAGGGGGCGGTGTGGCAGCAATTTTTCACACCAGCCTATTAATTAATGAAAGACCAAGACAGACTTTTAATTCATTTGAAAGCCTGATGCTTAACATTGTCCACCCCAGCTGAAAAATTTTAGAAACCAGTCTTATTTGTTATCATCTATTGTCCACCTGGGCCTTACACAGAGTTTCTCTCTGATTTCTCAGACTTTTTATCTGATTTAGTGCTCAGCTCAAATAAAATAATTATTGTGGGTGATTTTAACATCCATGTAGATGCTAAGAATGACAGCCTCAACATGGCATTTAATCTGTTATTAGACTCAATTGGCTTCTCTCAAAATGTAAAAGAACCCACCCACCACTTTAATCACACTCTAGATCTTGTTTTTAACATATGGCATAGAAACTGAACATTTAACAGTGTTTCCTGAAAACCCTCTCCTGTCTGATCATTTCCTGATAACATTTACATTTACAATAATTGATTACACAGCAGTGGAGAGTAGACTTTATCACAGATGTCTTTCTGAAAGCGCTGTAACTATGTTTAAGAATGTAATCCACCCACTGTTATCATCTTCAATGACCTGTACCAACACAGAGCAGAGCAGCTATCTGAACGCTACCCCAACAGAGGTCAATTATCTTGTTAATAATAATTTTACCTCCTCACTACATATGACTCTGGATACTGTAGCTCCTGTGAAAACTAAGGTTTCAGATCAGAAGTACCTGACTCTGTGGTATAATTCTCAAACACGTAGCCTAAAGCAGATGACTCGTAATCTGGAGAGGAAATGGCGTGTCACAAATTTAGAGGATCATCATAATTGGAGAAATATTTTGCTGATTTATAAGAAAGCCCCCCCAAAGCCAGAACATCTTACTATTCATCACTGATTGAAGAAAATAAGAACAACCCCAGGTTTCTCTTCAGCACTGTAGCCAGGCTGACAAACAATCAGAGCACTTTTGAGCCAACCATCGTTAACTAGTAATGACTTCATGAACTTCTTCACAAATAAAATTCTTATCATTAGAGAAAAAATTACCAATAATCATCCCACAGATGTAGTATTATCTACAGCTACTTTTAGTACCGTTGATGTTAAGTTACTCTTTTTCTCCAATTGATCTTTCTGAGTTAACTTCTATAATTATTTCCTCCAAACCTCCGTGTCTTTTAGACCCCATTCCTACAAAACTGCTCAAAGAAGTCCTGCCATTAATTAATGCTTCAATCTTAAATATGATCAACCTATCTCTAATAATCGGCTATGTACCACAGGCCTTCAAGCTGGCTGTAGTTAAACCTTTACTCAAAAAGCCATCTCTAGACCCAGCAGTCTTAGCTAATTATAGGCCAATCTCCAACCTTCCTTTCATATCAAAAATCCTTGAAAGAGTAGTTGTCAAACAGCTAACAGATCATCTGCAGAGGAATGGTTTATTTGAAGAGTTTCAGTCAGGTTTCAGAGCTTATCACAGCACAGAAACAGCTTTAGTGAAGGTTACAAATGATCTTCTTATGGCCTCTGACAGTGGACTCATCTCTGTGCTTGTCCTGCTAGGCCTTAGTGCAGCGTTCGATACTGTTGACCATAATATCCTATTAGAGCGATTAGAGCATGCTGTAGGTATTACAGGTACTGCACTCCAGTGGTTTG